ATAGGTCTGTCTCGTGCGAGAGAAGTTTATTGAAGTATATTTTGGTTTATCATATTGTTTGAAAATGTTTTAGCGTGTCTTTGTCATCATTAGTGATGACTTAAATAATAATAATAATAATAATAATAATCTCTTTATTGCTTTTTGACAATTGTACATTGTATAGCAAACGTCAGTCAATACAAAAAATGCAACAAATAAGATAAAATATAACATGTATAAACATTAAAAATTAAAAAAAAAATTAAAATATACATTAAAAATTGTATTAACATTTATATTTTGTTGAACCAGGTGAAAACATTTTGTTTGTCTTTTAGTTTTAAGCGTACACAATTTTAAAATTATAAAAACTTCATGGTATGTGTTGGTGATGTTTATTAATTCAATATTTTCTTTTTAACAAAACTTAAACAAAGGAATTATTATTTTAAGTGTTTTAAAATGTTTTAAGAATTTTTTAAGACGAAACGTATTATAACTATTGATATTACAAATGTATACTGTATATTATCTTGTATATTATTTCAATAAATGTGTATTTCAAATGTTCATGAATTGTGAATTATTTTGATTTTTAAACAACGTACTTTATTTTCATTAACTGTTTTACATTTTTAACGTATAAAGGTATTATTTGTAAAAAGTATTTCATCATTTTGTGACTAATATGTTAATTGGTTGATATTACCTGCAATCGTTGTAATACCTCCTAAATAAAAGGGATTTGCTAAAATGAAATTTGATTAGTTCAATATTTACCGACATAGCCTATGTGTTAGATGTGGATATAAGTTGGATTTTGCATCTTAGCTGAGAACTTATTTTAAACTATAAAGCATGATGTGATTAAGGCTGATTAGATGTGTCAACGCTTTAACACTTTATCAAGCTAACCTTGTTTTCATAATGCACAATCTCGTCAATATACGTTGCTAGCAGAAAGGTAACAGCAAATTATATCAATTTAGTTGTATTAAATGTTGTTAGCTCTCTTTGAAAGATCATTATGTGTATCCGGAAAGAGCTAAATTAATATTAACTAGTATTCACTACTAAAACCATTTTAGCTACATGATGTTTGTTTTATGCTTTAAAAGATTGGCTTGGGAAGTACATACTGTTATAAAATGATATTTTATTCAGTTCTTATACAATTATTCCATTGTGATGTAGTACAGCAATTACTGTCAAGAAGGTGTCCCTTTTGTCCATAATAGAACATTTTTACTCAGCTAAGTTATATTAGATGTACATGTTAAATGCAAATAAAACCACTCCATTATTTAATTTATACAGATTTTTAGTTTAGCTGTAAGTCGACTTCATTGACTAGTAAAACCTGTTATTTAATTATCAAGAAATTTACTAAGTGTATTTAGTGATATTATACCTGTGTTGTATTTTTATTTATGAATAGAGATAAGGTTTATGTAAAATACTAATATCTATACACACTGACACTGGATTAGGTAGGTAAAATCCCTTGCAATATAAAAACCATTTGGGAGAAAGAACTGTCAACATGGTATCAATAGTCTGATTAAATTCGGAGCAAATATTCGTTCCAAACGCCAATCAAGTTTGGCAAAAAATTAGGAAGCTTCCACACATTCTGTCAGAATTGCCTCTGGTTCTGTAAACTAGTGCGAGTATTCCATTTTTATTTCCAACAGTAACATAAAATTAATTGCGAGTTCTTAACAGTATTATTTTATGTAATATGTAATATTACTGTGTAGTTTTATGTTTTAATGGTATGCTTAAACGTATTAATCTAAGAAGGTTTAACACATTTATTCATCATATTTATTGTAGAAATTAGAAAAACTCTATTTGTTTATTTAAAGAATACAAAATTGATTATTCTCTTACGTGTGTACAGTCTTTTAAAACATGTAGACCTATTCTGTCCATTTATGATCTTAATGAAAATTTGTAATTACTTGAAAAACACATCACCTCTTCAGAGGAGGATTTCTTATTAGTTTCTCGTTTTAAACACTTTAAATTATATATCTAATTAGCCATTTCCTTGAATTATTTAGTCACGTCGTAAGAGATTACGACGATTTATAAAATCAAGAACGGTAGTTTTTTATGGATTTTTTGTTTCAGGATAATTGTTTAACCACCATGCTCTAATGCTGAATATAAAGGTATTTATCGACCAACACAGGCAATGCTGGCAAATTTACCTCGTTCAATAGCCTATTAACGAATTGCATAGGGATTTCTGTTTCAATTTTATATAGGTGTAAATAGCAATGGTTGAAGCATTTCTGTTGTGTAAGAACTGTTATGTAAACTACGTAAGCTATAAATACAGTATATAGGCTACAAAAAATCTCTGACTCATACCAACCAACTACCTTTTACATATAATTCATATATTAATTCATATATATACTATGGTAATGCACAACAAGCTTCGGTTGACGTGCCTTAACTCTTGAGTCCGTCCCCTAATACAGTATTGTTGGAAGATAAATTACAAATTACGAAAATTACAAACATGTAAAAAAATTCTTTACGGAGTTATACTATTCAATGTTATATTAAAATAAGTTATAATAAACCTAATCAACACAATAAATGTCTACAAAGTTTGCAGCTTTCTTTATTCCCCTCTAAATTCTGGAATAGGTGATTGCCTAGTTTAAACATCTTTAAATAAATAGTATTACCATTAAGAGCCAAGACAAAATACTAGGGATAGATTCAAGTTCCACCTGAATTTCTTTCATTGCTCATACCTAAAAATACCAATAGGAAACATAGGAGTGTGTCGCTCCACTAAATTGTGCTAAACGTTTTTGAAAATACTCTTCAAATTTATTGTGTACAACCTGCAAAATATTTTTGTCCATTTATCTTGTAGCTTAGTAAAATATGTTCATAAACACTTCTGTAACTTTTGCAGTTGTTGGAAAATATAAAAGCAGGTTAAAGTTGATAAGAAGTTTTCTGCTGAGGTAAGCATAGTGAACACTAACTTTATATATCTTTACTGTTAAACAATTATTGCATTCAACTATTAACTACCACTTAGCAATAGAAACACCAATATTCTGATATGAGATGGCTATCATACTAAGGATATTGATTTTCGCTTAGGCATGGCTTAAGTGCATCCATCTACTACATATGGGGCAAAGCCATACAAATATAGAGCGATAATCTGCAAAATCACATATGGGTAAGGTATAGCGACTTTAAATAAAAAGTTAAGCAACTGTGTATTTAATGGGTATTGGTGAAAAAGACATATAAAGGTGCCTATTTTTTTATTTATAGGTTATATCCTGTATCTTTAGAGTTAGTTATTATGCTAAGTGTTTAGTTTTTATGTACTTAATTAGTTTTTATGCAAAGGATTAACCTAAAAGCATGTTCTGTATTTCAATTTGTCTTCTTATTTTATTCTGAACTGTATGAGTCTCTGACATTCTGGATCTTTGACCTTTCCTACATATCTTTCGCCCAAAAGGAGTTGTGCAATGAACTGTCAAACGTCAAAATTACCCGTAAAATAAAAGTAATTAATATGGAAAGTTTAGATTCAAATAAAATTAATAGTACTTAAGTAACCAACAATCATGCATATTTATGTTATTTTTTAGATACAACTAATTTATAAGTTTCACATAAAGCAATAATTATGAACTCAAGTAGGCTAAATGAAGGACAATTCTTCATATAGTGAATCATACACTAAGAACGTTATTACGCTGGTTAGCCCAACTCCCTATAAGCTAACTTATAGGGTTAATTAGGCTAACGAACAAAAGTTTTTAAAATTCTATTGTTTAACTTTGATTTCCGACAAATTAAATCCTTGTTTTATTTTAAGGCATACACCCATTAATATTCTTCTGATAGAATCACTCTAATTATGTTTTACAGTTGTTTATGTAACTAAAATTACAAGTACCCAGGGATACTTTTTAAGAATGAAAAGAAAAGGACGAGATTTTTAGCTCCGTATCCATATTTCATTTTTGATCAACTTATATGCATTGGTGCATTTTTCCTACACTTTTTATTATTACAGAGAATTTATTACATGATTCAACATGGTTTTTTTTAAGCTCAAAGAGAATGCATTGTAGGCTTACGATTTAGTTTTTTACGGATACGGTTTCCTCAAATGTATAACAAGTCTATACTTAGTTGATATTTTTTATACTGGATTCTCATCTGGAAAATGATTTCAAACTTTTCATGGCATGAAACCAACACTTTACTTGTAATGTATTATTCTACAACAATACATACTCTTTGAGCTTGCGAAAACACAATGTTGAGCATTATTTACAATAGATTCCCAATATGACTAAACCGTATAGACAACGATACAATAATTCTTATCAGCGGGTCGGTAATAATAAAATATCAAATAAAAGTAAAGAAAGAGGGGATAAATAAATAAATAAAATAAAAATGCCTTTGTTTATCAAGCGATTCTCAGAAAAACTGCTTTTCAGTACAACTTCCGTCAATAACAATAACTAAAGTAATAAACAAATAAATAAACAACAATAATAAAAGAGAAACAAGACAATATAAATAACCATAACCGTACAATTCTTTGATCTTAGCACTAAAAGATGACAATGCATATTTTTGGGCAGAGGGAAGGTCGTTGTACAGCTATGGGCCGAAATACGATAAGCTTCTCCTTCCAAACTCAAGCCTCACTCTTGGAAAGTGAAGCTGGAGACTTGCAAAGCGGGTATTGCGCTGAGAGACCTCCTCCCGGAAAGAGAGCCTCTGAAGAAGGTACTGTGGCTCCTGTAGGACTCCTTGTGCCACAAGCAGCACGTCTTGATCCTGCCAACAGTGTCTACTGCTGTCTTCCCCGCTACAGCTCTGAATGGAGATACGTGTTCAAATTTTTTGAAGCCAAAGATGAAGCGAATAGCAGAATTTTGCATTCGGTGCATGTCTTCACTAGAGATGCTGTTTCCATAAGCTGATGTACCTATGTTGTGTTTTAGACTGGTTCCCTGGCTGGAGTCAGCACAACCACGTGTTGAGACAGCCTAATGATGACTTCCTCAGCGAGGAGGATTGTGTAGAACTACGCCGTCTCTATCACCACCCCTTACTAGCAGTGCTGATGCACCTATGTTGTGTTTTATACTGGTTCCCTGGCTGGAGTCAGCACAACCACGTGTTGAGGCAGCCTAATGATGACTTCCTCAGCGAGGAGGATTGTGTAGAGCTGCGCCGTCTCTATCACCACCCCTTACTAGCAGTGCTGATGTACCTATGTTGTGTTTTAGACTGGTTCTCTGGCTGGAGTCAGCACAACCACGTGTTGAGGCAGCCTAATGATGACTTCCTCAGCGAGGAGGATTGTGTAGAGCTGCGCCGTCTCTATCACCACTCCTTACTAGCAGTGCTGATGTACCTATGTTGTGTTTTAGACTGGTTCCCTGGCTGGAGTCAGCACAACCACGTGTTGAGGCAGCCTAATGATGACTTCCTCAGCGAGGAGGATTGTGTAGAACTACGCCGTCTCTATCACCACTCCTTACTAGCAGTGCTGATGCACCTATGTTGTGTTTTAGACTGGTTCCCTGGCTGGAGTCAGCACAACCACGTGTTGAGGCAGCCTAATGATGACTTCCTCAGCGAGGAGGATTGTGTAGAACTACGCCGTCTCTATCACCACTCCTTACTAGCAGTGCTGATGCACCTATGTTGTGTTTTAGACTGGTTCCCTGGCTGGAGTCAGCACAACCACGTGTTGAGACAGCCTAATGATGACTTCCTCAGCGAGGAGGATTGTGTAGAACTACGCCGTCTCTATCACCACTCCTTACTAGCAGTGCTGATGCACCTATGTTGTGTTTTAGACTGGTTCCCTGGCTGGAGTCAGCACAACCACGTGTTGAGGCAGCCTAATGATGACTTCATCAGCGAGGAGGATTGTGTAGAACTGCGCCGTCTCTATCACCACTCCTTACTAGCAGTGCTGATGCACCTATGTTGTGTTTTAGACTGGTTCCCTGGCTGGAGTCAGCACAACCACGTGTTGAGGCAGCCTAATGATGACTTCCTCAGCGAGGAGGATTGTGTAGAGCTGCGCCGTCTCTATCACCACTCCTTACTAGCAGTGCTGATGCACCTATGTTGTGTTTTAGACTGGTTCCCTGGCTGGAGTCAGCACAACCACGTGTTGAGGCAGCCTAATGATGACTTCCTCAGCGAGGAGGATTGTGTAGAGCTTGCGCCGTCTCTATCACCACCCCTTACTAGCAGTGCGGATGTACCTATGTTGTGTTTTAGACTGGTTCCCTGGCTGGAGTCAGCACAACCACGTGTTGAGGCAGCCTAATGATGACTTCCTCAGCGAGGAGGATTGTGTAGAGCTTGCGCCGTCTCTATCACCACCCCTTACTAGCAGTGCGGATGTACCTATGTTGTGTTTTAGACTGGTTCCCTGGCTGGAGTCAGCACAACCACGTGTTGAGGCAGCCTAATGATGACTTCCTCAGCGAGGAGGATTGTGTAGAGCTTGCGCCGTCTCTATCACCACCCCTTACTAGCAGTGCGGATGTACCTATGTTGTGTTTTAGACTGGTTCCCTGGCTGGAGTCAGCACAACCACGTGTTGAGGCAGCCTAATGATGACTTCCTCAGCGAGGAGGATTGTGTAGAGCTTGCGCCGTCTCTATCACCACCCCTTACTAGCAGTGCTGATGTACCTATGTTGTGTTTTAGACTGGTTCCCTGGCTGGAGTCAGCACAACCACGTGTTGAGGCAGCCTAATGATGACTTCCTCAGCGAGGAGGATTGTGTAGAGCTTGCGCCGTCTCTATCACCACCCCTTACTAGCAGTGCTGATGTACCTATGTTGTGTTTTAGACTGGTTCCCTGGCTGGAGTCAGCACAACCACGTGTTGAGGCAGTCTAATGATGACTTCCTCAGCGAGGAGGATTGTGTAGAGCTGCGCCGTCTCTATCACCACTCCTTACTAGCAGTGCTGATGTACCTATGTTGTGTTTTAGACTGGTTCCCTGGCTGGAGTCAGCACAACCACGTGTTGAGGCAGCCTAATGATGACTTCCTCAGCGAGGAGGATTGTGTAGAGCTGCGCCGTCTCTATCACCATCCTTCCCTGGCTGTTTCCGCCTCGGCCGCAGTCCCTACCGCCTCCAGGCTGACTGAGTCGTACATGTGGAACGACAGAGACTGCAAGACCAAGAACTACTTTATATGTGAAAAGCTACAGAAAGGAGCAGGTTAGTTAATATATTACCTTTTCGGCAAACCTTTTCTTGATTGATTCCTTTAGCTTTAACATTTTTAGAATGCCCCTGATACGTCTTCTTTTAGAACTGGCAAACAGATCGTGATATAAAATTAAACCTGATAACTATCTTCTCAACGAAATAAATGTGTGATAAATCTCAACCATAATTTACCAAATTACTCTCCATTTTACATTAGTTTATATTCCTCCATGTATCACTAAACGTGTGTGTATTTCAAAGTGACTTGCTAAACCATTACAGTATAAACACTTCTAATACCACCAAATCAGCAGTTATAATATGTAGTACAATTTATTTATTTTCTTCGTAGTTAATGATATAATTATTACCATACACACCGAATAATCTATTTTTAAATGTAATAAAATTGTTTTTTACTGGGTTTTGTTTGATCTTACTTAAAGTTAATGTTAGATATTGTTATGTATCGCAACTAAATATTTCTTTCATACATAATAATTTATTATCAAATGTTACACTAACATGTTCTAAAGTTGACCTTTTTATTGCCAATAAACATTCCCCATTGAAAGGAAAATGACGGGATGAAATAAATTAAATAAAACGTATTCCAGATTAAAGTCAGCAGCCTGAAACAACGAAACGAGGGTTTGGTCAAGCACGTGATTGCTGACTGGTCGTTTTAATTGGTTATAGATTGTGTTTTTTACAAGTGAATCTTTCTAATTTAAAACTGCCAGTTTCCAAAAGCTAAATAAATTGCCACATTAGATACACACACTTTTTTGATACAATATGAAAATTTATTTTTCTCAAATTATAAAAGTATTGTTGATTTTAAACTGCAATTTTTTTAGCTGTGATAATGTGTCGGTATAAAATTGTTTTCTAAGAGTAGTACATTATTTATTGAAAATATGAGTATTTTATAAAAAATTTCATAACTAAGATATCCTACAATTGTTACATTCTCCTCTATGTACATTTGAAAGTACTGTAATGCTACGAAATCGATCAAACGTTAAAAATGCACCTTAAATTATTTGAAATGTCAAAAATAGTACTTACATTAAACATTTCAAAACAGTTTTCACTATTTTAATCAGCGTCAAATTTGTAACACAAGATAATAAATTTGCAATTGTTAAACTTATGCAGAATAATTTTGTTTCTCTTTATTGACTGTTAAGCTCATTTATCAACACATCTCAACAAATTCCAATATTACATTGTGGACATTTCAATCTGTTTACCTTTTGTAGAAACACACAAGTGCTCATCAATCCAATATTATTTAAGCTGGACGAGCTAAGCGTAAACACTTTTTACGATAATGTTAAAATTTAAATGTATCCAAGCAATTAATTGGAATTTCACCTAGCCAGTGATTGCTGAAACAGTAAAATGTTATGTAAATACCAGTTTAAAATATTATAAAATATAGTTTTTCCTTTTATATTTTTCCAAATAACAAAAATTAATTCGATGGTTACAGTTTTTGGGAATTACCATTATGCTTACAAGGATGAATTTAATAAATTTAGATAAATTTATAATAATAATTTTCACCCATTCGAATTCCTAAATCCTAATAATGTCCGTATTTCTCAATCTCAAAAAGCAATGCTTTTTTTAAAAGACAATTTCATTTTAATTAGAAGTAGTGTCAAATTAATCCTGTCTGCACATACTGTGCAGTATACCACATTCGGATTGTTATTAGTTCGGTGTCGTCGGCCATCTAGTGTTATTGTTATGGTCTTGGTTTCTACTGTAACGCATTCCTAGCCATTGTTATGCATACATGGACATTATGGAACGCAAATGGCAATACTCGTAGCAAAAACCCATATAACTACAGACTTGTGATAGGGGTGTGTGGCCCAGTGATTAACGTAAAAATGATTAATTTAAAGCTAGACGTTATCTGAAATTGATGTAAGACGTAAAGTATAATTCGAGTACACGTTTTTTTATGGATTCCACACTCTTAAGGGTTGCAAATTAGTTTTTTTGGGGTTTTTTCGTCGGTTTTATATTTTATATATTTTATGGTACAATGAAATGCTTCTAAATTATATTTACTTCAATCATGTCCATGTAAACAGCTATCTATGATATTAAAAGAATGTATTTATTTCTACTCATTAAAGTTGAAACAGGACTAATTGTAGGAGGTGTTAACACCTTTTCCTAAAATACGTTACATATATAATTCGTATAACGTATTATATATTGTACGAAATATATTGTGATTAAAATTTCTTAATCCTATATTTGCTTTTTGAGGTAGTGTACATAATGTGAATGCGATGCAGTTACCTATTTCAACAATTACATGTATATCAGTTAAAGTGAAATCAATTTTAATAACTGTGAACGATATAAGAACGTTTTGTATGGGTAATATATGTGCAATGAGTATTGCAAGTGCATTTGTCTTATCAACTAAAAATGGAAATGTGATTTGTATTGGAAAAGTACGCTCGATTTCGAATAAATGATCCAATTTTCGTAACCTAATAATAACCTAATTCGTAATAGAAACCTACTAAATAAAAAGTACAAACATATTAAATAGAAATTGAGTTTACATTATATGCACGTACTTTTTTGGTATTGAAGGGTTGCAATAGGCCAGGCTTATGACGATGTGGTATCTGATCCCAGCAATATCCGTCGATGCGATGAGAGTGGGATTATGGGGCTGTAGCAGGCGAGAATGAAGCAATAAGAAGCCGATTGTCGCTTATATTCGACGATGATTCCCATCCTCTGTATGGGTTACGTGTACAGTCAGAATACAGAAATATACAGTTTTATGTTTTCTAGATCGCAAGAGTGGTAATTTTCTCGAAGGGTTTTCTAAAATGTCAGTTAAGTTCTGTCAAAGATGCCTACACCTGTATATTTGTACTAAAACATTTTATAATAATAAATTTGTCATCTTATTTTTTAAAAGTAAATTTGACCTGACATAATAAATTACAGTGAAGTTTTGTTTAACTAAACCTAATAGTTTTTATGTCATATTACGAAACCATATGATTATTTTTATTGCAGGATATTAGATTTTCCTGGCAAAGCTTGATTTGTTTTCGTAGAAACATTTTTTTCTTATAGATAATTATATTTACGACTAACATGCAGACAAGAAGTAATGATGTTTAAATGCCAAGCTAAGTTATGTCGTTTTCATTTACTACTGCACCGTAAGTTTTCCAACGACTACAAACAACATAGCAAGAAACGAATGGACGATGCATAATTAATCTACCACTACCACCTCATAATAATTTAAATCATGAATCTGCAAAGAATAAAACTAATTTATTTAACGCATTTGTGGCAGAGAATTCCATCGGAAAAGAATAAAACAAAAACAACAGGTTTACAGGCCAGAGACAAAATAGTTGAATAATGTTTCATTGTATTAGTGAATGTAATAACTGTACTATTGTTTTCCTTTGCAATATTCCCTCATGTAAAAGTTGCATCATTGTTGAATATTACAGCTATGTTTGGGCTCATACGATCTGATAACACCAGCTGTTAGGCTATATCCCAACACATGGGACTCAATATATGTTGTAAATGTTAGAGGGGTCCTCACCAACGGAAATAGTTCAAATACTAGTTGTCGGTACACTTATATTGCATCTCTTAACAATATGTTATCAGAGAATATAAGGATTCATAACGTTTGATGCTTGTCTTCATTCACAACCTATTCTTTTAGAGGGTAATCCATAAAGATTTAATTTTAATTAGTATTGCTAACACCGATTTTGCATTTATTTATGAAACCATCATATTTTCACACAACCACTGTTCATATACGGTAGGGGTGTGCGTGTCCACTATTATCACTATGGCTAGAGTAAATATATTGTAATACTGATGAAATTTGGTATAAAACTTTGTACAACTCTTGGTTTTTTACGAGTTTTCAATTTTGCATTATCGGACAGTGGAAAAGAGATTCTATTCTTCGGTTTTCCAATTTTTATCCTCAAAATGTGTTGCAGTTTATTTTTAAACCCTTTGTATAGCAAAAAACTAATAGGTAGTAGGTTTACTATATTGAACCGTTGTGGTACGCCGAATAGTTACGTAGAAAAGCCCAATATTTTTAAAAATACCTTTGTTTTTCTTATGGAGAATAAGTTTGCAATAATGATAGAATAATCTACGGTTGTAGCTTCTTTGTAAGGTATATTTTGAAAAAGATTTATAAACTTATTTTTTTAATCCAAAGCTATAAACACTTTTAACCGAATTTCGATTTGTCTTAATTGGTTTTTACTTAAACATTTCCTAAACAAGCTTTTTTCATATTTAGTTTTTTCATAATAACCTTAGTTTTAACGATTATTAGAAAAGTAATAATGTGTGATTTAGTGAAGTTTTGGGAGTTTGAAGTTTTGTATCTCGAGGTATAATTAATACAAGACCAAGGGATTATCTTTTTTGGGGGACCGGTACTTAATAAAATGGAAATTTCACTTAGTAAAATACCGTTTCGCAACAAGATTCGTTAAAGGTGAATCCTGCTTCTCTTACACTACGTTCAGTTTTCTCTATTTTCGTTGTTATTTACAAGAAAATAAAGTCTCTATTTTTAGGAAGATATGAGAAACGTACAAAATCCATAAACATGGTCTTAGAAAATTATCTTACAAAATTTATTTTTTTTATTGCATTGTTATAATAGATCATGATGTTATTTTAAACGCAACCGAAATTACAAGTTCGAGAGACACTATTTGAAGACAAAACTACCTAATAATTAGGTATCACTTTTTCCTGTACTTTATTGCTGAAAAGCTGATTATTTTAGGCTTATTGGGTATTTATTATGAATAAGACTCAACATTGTGTTTTCATAAGCTCAAAGCGAATAATACATTTAAATAAATCATCTGTCTTATGATAAGAAAGGTTTAAAATTATGTATCGACGTGTGGTTCCAGTATAATAATATCATCTTAAATATCAATATATGTAATTTACTTGGTAAAAATATAAGAACCGAATTTGTAAATAGGATATTACATGGACCTTCAATGATCACTGAGCTTGCGAAAAACAACGTTTAGCCGTATTCCTATTACATTCACTGCAACACTAACCCGTGTATAAAAAAATTTAACAATGCATATCAGCTGATTGGAAACAAAATAAAGGATGCAGAGCTACCAACTTTTGAGCTTCATTTTCCCTTAAGCAGTCTCTAGGTACTTGAAATTTGGGTTGTTTTGAAAGAAAAAACCATTCTCTAAATTGAAATCCCTCAACGTTTTACTCCTGCCAATCACCGTTTATCTGACCCGTGTGACGTGAAATGATTTACCGGTACTGTTGTTGTTGTTGTTGTTGTTTATGCTCATTCTGTTGTGCGACCACACAAATCAACAACGGGAGTTGTTGTACATGACCAGCCAAGGTATGCATGCTGGCAAACTTATGATCATCACATGACGAACCCTCTAGTATAACAGAAGTAAACTTTGTCTGTATCTATCACGTTACATTTATCTAGGTTATCTTTGAATCTACTGTTGTACAGTTGTGAAACGACTTAAAATGTATAAATGTTCTAAATAACATTCTAATAAAGTTAATAGAATTTTATACATTCTAAATTCAAATAAATTAAAAATCATTCGATTACAATTAATTATTATGAAATATCTCAAGATACATTTGTTGAAGTCAAAAACGGGGTTGAGTTCCAAATACGATTGGAAAAATCTAATTTTTAAACACTAACATATTTTGGTGTTTCTATGTTTCCCATGGAATTATTTTATACTCAGGGAATTGGCATGTTGTCAATTGAAAAAAAAACGTTGTAATAAAACACACTCTTGTCTCACTAATAACAATTTTGATTTACATCTAGGGTACAATCAGTATGAACAAAAAACTATAAAACATGTTTGCCTACATATTATTTTTTTAATTCAATTTCACTTAGTAATATAAATGTTAATGCAAACACTGTACAATACAATTCGTTATTTTATCTGGTGGCTTTAGAGCTATAATTACGTAATAACGCAGATGTTTTGGCTGCATTGAGATCACTGCGGCTTCCACCAGATAAGGTGCATTAGTTAGGTGATTAAAAAGATAACAGTGCGCCCACATGGACCACACGCTTTACTACAAACATTAGCCTAACTCACCTAGTGGTAATCTGTATAATAATTTATATTAATTAATTAATGGTAGTTTCATAATTGATTCTCTAGTGCTCCGGTCTTTGGTTTAGTTCATAGTTTGCAACTTAATGATACTAGATTGTTTAAATAACAAAAAAATACATAATAACCTTGTTACTAAAAGAAAATTCACCTTTTTTACTCGTTAAATGGTAGTGTACAATATAAATAAGTTTACATAGGTATTTTTTATATTTTTGATGGGTAGCTAAAATGTAATTTAGCCTGTTTAATTTAATTTAATTTAATTTATTTTAGCTACCTGTTTAGGTAGCTCAAATTTAATTCATAATCACTTTTGACATTTATCTCTTAAATTAATTACAGTATTTCAAACCTGGTAGGTTATTACCAAAAAGAAGTTCAACTACAGTTTATCAATCTTCAAATTTATTATAACAGTGGTTGAAATTAAAGGGATTATAAAATGATTTGTAAAAAGGGGATTTTTTGGGGAAAACTGTGCAATACACCAAAATGGATTAGAAAATAATCACTTATCGTTCAAAACCCTTAATTCCGCGAATGAGAAAGATTTAAAGTAATCCGCGTAAAGGATGAATCTCGTTGGTTTGCGTTTTTATCTCTCTCATTATTTTTGTAAAATCTTTCTTACTTTAACAATGATTAAGACCAAACGAATACAATTTGTTATTATTATTTCTATCATGCACTTTTTGCATTTCTTTCTTACTTTTAAAAATATGTATTCTAGAGTTTTTTACTGACATTTCTCTGCATTAAGAACTAACTATGGGATCCATAATTATTTATTAGTCCACTAGATACACGACCCTTTCAATAAACTGAGCTAGCATATTTAGCAATCATGCATCGGAGTATCCAGCATCTCGTTTGTTAAATATTTTCCTGATATTATTCGCAATGTTAAATACGCAATGATATCTGATGAGTGAATAACTCACACTCAATAAATTTAAAAATAATGGAAATTAACAGTTAGATTATTTCTATGAAATTTACGAAATCAGTATTTGAATTCAGGAAGATATTAAACCCTTAATAGACCAATAACAACAATGTTTATACAAAAAATCTTAAAAAACGTTTTTGTTAAGAAATATCTAGTTTTAGCAAAACGGGTGAAACAGGTTGAAAAATGTTCCTACCACAAATAATTCTCTTTTTTTAAATAATAGTCGAATTGTTTGCATATTTTAAGAAAACAGTGTGTTACAATAGTCACACTGTTTACTAGAAAGTACTAACATATGAATGGTTGATACTGATCAGGTAAAGAAACTAGTCCAGTGAAATCGTAAATTTGATTCCCGAGGTTCCAGGTTCAAATCTTGCCAAACACCAATAGGTTTTATCTATGTGACGCCACTGCATAGGCCTAGACTGGAGTAGTGTGCAAAACGGTCCCAGGCTCAATAGCGCCCTAGGATGTAAAAATTAGACTAACCAAAACAATCTAACGTCAACAATTTACTGTATGGCATCACTAATAATTTTTTACCCAATGGCGCATGGCATTTAGGCCTAGGACTTCACTTAGAATCGAACCCTTGATCTAAAATTTGAAGGCGAACACTATTTCCACTTAGATAATCAGACATTTATCTATATTTTTCACTACTACCTCCCTCCTTTCCCCTTCCAAACATGTCTATAAGTTTTTTTTTCTGACCATGTCTTTGAATGCCAAAGACATCTCACAAAATTTTTTCCTAATGGCTTTTAAAAGCCCCTCTAGCAATATGTACATGGATTCAACACGCTGTGTTTTCTTCCAGTCACCTACAACCCTATAATTCTGTCCGTTGTTCCAGAACCACTGGAAGACCTGAAGACCGTTTGCAACCGCACTCTCTCCCTGTCTGTGGACCAGCCTAGAGCAGCTGTCACCTCCCCAGGGTTCCCTAGGACGTACCCGGACAACGCGGAGTGTCACACCCTCGTAACCGTACCTCCAGGGTACAGGATCATCGTGGAGTTTGACGAACTTATTCTCGAGGAGGAGAGACTAGAGTAAGCAAACGTCTTCATTCACTTCCAGTTTAATCAGTTCTACTTTGACTTTTAGTTTTCAGTTTGTATTCATTATTTTAGTTGTCTACATAGTGGCCCCTTACATGAATACCATTGAATGATTTTGGTACTGCAAGCAGTAAAAGTTATATCTAAAGCACTTTATTCTCGTAAAGCGGTCACACACTACTAGGGATTGTCCAGATCTAGACATGGGCTTCCTTCATCTTCAGAACTCATTTATTACAACTAGATAAAGATAAATATGTTTGTATTTTTTTTTTTATTAATTGTACCCCTACGTCCAAATAGTTTGCATAAAGCGAATTTCAATTTCAATCTTTTTTGATTGGCGAATCCCTTTAAAATTAGATACATACTATATTTTCAGTTATTTTTTATGGCACTGATTTCATAGCTTTAAAATGCTTTATTTTACATGGAACGTGTTATTTAAAAAGCTAAATAGCCTACGTAGTATTATAAAAATACATTACATCTGAACTGCTTGTAAAGAGCCTTAAATTGGGATAAGTTCAATTTTTATTTAAGTATATAGCAGTTTTAAGATTTATGTGATAGTATTTACTGAAATCTTATGCAGTGATAATTATGATCGTATATATCTAAATAGGAGGATTACAATAGTGTGTTTTAGGATAAAAATATATCTAAAAAGAAAATGTATAGTTTTGACTCTGTTTTTGTCTCTCAATTAGTGTATTTTTAAATGCATTTCATGTACAGTTTTAGGCCCTGTAATGTAGTTTATTCTCAAAGAAAGCTTAATCACTTAATTTAGCAAGCCTCGCTGCCTCGAGTCAACACTTCCCCATTTGCCTAATTGCTTTAGTTTGTTTAACCCACGACTCAACACTTTGGACTGAGTGAGGACTGTTTCTTATTGCTTAGACTATATTAAGGTTCGTTTTAATTCAAGATTTAAAAACAGCATTTTACTTCGTATTTTGCATTTTTCATTATAAAACAGTTTTTTTAAGAGCACAAATATTTCATTCAGAAATAGTTATTTGTGTAACTAGTGGGCAAAGGCAGTTTGCACTCGTGTTACAAATTATATTTTCCCTAAAGTTACTATAAATCATATAAATAATTATTCTTTCAAACACTGTATTTAGGTCAGGTTAAATCCAAACATTGAACAAAATAGGAAACGCTGTACCAGCTGATCGTAGTCATAATATCTTTAAGTGTTGCCAACTTATTTTCAAGCGTACACGGATTACGTGCATAATAAAAGCACGCTGTTTTGTGTTGTTTGGTTGGAATACTAGTGTGTCAACGTCAAAACTGTGCGCCATAGTAAGGCTTTCTGTACTTTAAACTGTGCAAGGAAGCCCACTTTGTCGGTTGACTGTAGGAAAAGACAATTTATGTTTGAAGTAAAATGTTTGGTTCTGTCAGTTTAGTCGTGATCTTGGGAACCCAATTTATTTATTAACCGTAAAGATATTATAAGCTTTGGTTATTGCAACAAGTTAATAAAATGCATTACTGGTGATATAATTTGTGTTTAATTATTTTCTTATTTAAAATTAAGATGGTTCTAACATGACCGCCTATATCGAGGTACGGTAATACATCAGACACGGCCGAGGGTTAAATCAACTCTGTTGATAGTATCCACAGCCGCCAATAGGTTATGGAATGATTTAAGCGTATATTACGGGGTTTTTATCGACAAATTAAAACATAAGCTCTACAAATGGCAGCGTCGAACTGCAAAATATACCAAAATAAAAATAACCGTCAAACTATGTAAACATACACGGCAATGGAAATTGTTTCTTCAAGTATTTTTGGACATATTTATCAGGAATTTAATTATTTTCATACATATAAGTAGAGAACGGTTCCTCCTAATTTAATATTTCACTCTGTACAAAAGGAACTCCTGCAATTAAACTGCAGCCAAATGCTGAATTCATCGCATCGTTTACGTTTTCTAATTGCTAAACATTCAGAGTACATCCTAAAGCACTATAATTAAGCTGGTATTTTGGGCTCTTATTTCGGTAATTAAAAGCCTCCTGAGTCATAAAAGCACTTGTTAATTAGATCGTGTAATACTGCGTCAAAGCTAAATCTCCAGCGCTGGGAAGGACTCGAAGCGTTTGTGGGCTTGGAGTGCATGTTAATGGTTTGCGTCCGCAGTGTGTGATTCGACTTTAATTTTGTTAATGACGTCGAAAATTTAACATTTCTATCGTGTGAGTCTAAAGTAGTACTAGTTTTTAAGTGTAACAGGATGAATTAATTCGAACAACTATTTACTTGAAATTTTTACGAACCGTACACATTTCTTCTAAAAGTTTGAATAAAATACAAACATATTAAGGATATGATGATTGCTAAAACAGAAACAAAAAAGCTATATACTGTAGTGACCACATTATTGACATACAATGATTTGCTCTAAAAGCTACTGTATATAGAAACTTTTGTAATACACTGAGGGATAAAATCTTAGACCACTTTAAGATTAGCAAAAGACCACTGGTTGGGGACTCAAAGTCCCGTGGAAATTCTGAAAAGTGTATATTTTCAAACATCAACTCCTCGCTTGATTAAAATCTCCTCTATTTTTTTTGGAAAAGACCCCTAATAGTAACTAACTTTGCTATGCAGACTAAGTCCCTTCAAAACGTGCTAAGCACAAATTTAGGACGTAATCCCAATTTAATGGAACGTTTCAAGTTCCATCTTTAAATTTTGACTCCCACCCCAATACAAGTGGCTACCCTTTCTGGGGAACCAAAGGCTAGTAGTTGGTAAACATACAATGATTAGAAACTCTCCAGTATCCAACAACAGAGCTCCGCCTTCCATGACTTCAAAATTTCTGTCTCACATATGTAGAAGAATATTAATCATACGGGTACATTTTTAGACATTATTTTGATGCCACTATTTCAGTATTAATCATATGAAAATTACACAAAATATCATGGAAAAATTATAAACATAAACAAAATTAAATTTTTAATCAACGCGATTGACATGCATAAAACGTCCACCAACTTATGTTTTACCGATGATTATATGTGTAATCTTGTAAGAGAGTGTACGATCAGAACGCTTCACAAATGTAAACCAATTAGCAAAGCTGCAGAAGATCAAGTTTTGTTGACTCGCTAACAAGAGTCCAACTTAACAAAGCAATCCAAACACTGCTATTGTTTTAATCGTGATTATCTTTGTTCGTAACTGTATCTAAGTTGTTTTCGTACATTTTCAAGACGTTTTATCAGTTTTTTTGTTATTTGGTGTACCTACCTTTATAAGTACAGTTTTGTTTCATAACAAAATAAAATAACTCGAATCTATTTCCACAAATGTGTTTGTTATTTGAGAGTATTAGGTATTACATTACCTCATGTTAGTGCAAAGAAGTGGTTGAAGATGCATTGGTGGGTTTTGATAATTTATCTAACGTGAATCGTTACAGATAAAAACTATGTAAAAATAGAATGTGCTTAATGAAGCTAAATCTGCTCCGCATCATCAGTCACCCTTTCAAAGTAGAATTATTTTAGATTTATAGCAGACTAGACACAACAGGGAGAATATCTTAAGCCGAAAATGAATGAAAGAAGAATGTTAAATCAATCAGATGATATTTATTACTGAATACGCTCAGCTGAGTCTTTGGTTAAAACAATTTCACTAATAAACCTACTAGACCATGAGCCACCAATATGAAACCCTCCCCCCCCCCCATGGAAATTTATGACTTATACTTTTTTTTTTGGTATTACCTACCAGATTAAGAATTCAGTTGTTTGCCTCTTTTAAATTACAGCATATTCCGAAAAATAAAGAAAAACTGTTAAATTTAAAAACTGTTTTATTTAAATTACATAAGGGTAGCCTGCGTTAATTACTGGTGAAATATTTTTTTATGGACTTCTTCAGTATGTATTCAAAGGCTTCAAATGAAAATAAAAAAGTTAATAAAATACCCCCGCTGCAGCAAACCTGCAGGCAATGCGGATTTCAAATTGGCCTGAATTGATTTTCAATTAAATCTATTTAAATAACATTAGATTTAACGAGTACCTCTAGGAAAGAGATTTTAAGGGATTCTATTTAAATTAAATAAATTTTATTGAGAAATTTTCGACGTAAGTTTTACTGGAATGTAATGTTCCAGTAAAATTAACGTATAAAACTTCGTTTTCCTCGTATCAAAATCAGACTTGCGACAATATTTTTTTTTTAATTTCTTTAAAATAATGTGCTGATTGATATGAGTTGCCCTTAAAAAAAATTAAGTTACTCTTAGCAAGTAGGTGGGGGGTGAATTTCAACATATCACCAAAAAAACCTTACATTACCCTTGAAACGTGTATTGAAGCTTGTTTGAATTTATGCATATTTGTGCTGAGACCATTCATTATTTAGCAGGTTAATCCGTTGTTCCTTATTTTTACCATTAGCTAGGATTTTTTTCCAATCCCGTGGGATCTTGATTTTGGACCTCTCATTAAAAAAGTGTCTTCAAATCCTCTTCTCCTTTTCAATGTTTTTAATAGATACATCTAAATAGGTATCCGTAATAAAGTATATCCTGCTGAATTTCGGAAAACGGCTGAAGGCAATCTGTGCTAGTTCACCAGAGGTTTCTGGAATATTAGTAAGAACCTAAAAGTAAGACATACCGTCAATTACATACATTCTTCAATCTTGGAAGGTTCGTCTACTATATACCCTTGTTCTCCAAAGCATGGAGCAGTTTGGCCTTTTCTGTTTTTGTTGCGCATTCATCGTTAGTGGTTAATGTCCATGGTCCTGGATCTAATGGGTATGTCATCAGCTTCTCAAGGTTAATATTACGTTCCTAAGACAGCAGTAAAACTCCAGAAAAATATTTTTTAGCTCATATCTCAACTAATATGTTTGCACGCAGCTTTCCCTAGATTGTCTACATTGAGTAAATTGTCTTCCGCCGATTCGGGTACAGGTCTTCCAGCTGATAAACAGACCATCTAGGAATTCTGATCACGGTTTTCAACTTCAAGCAGAATAATGCATTGTTCAAAAGCATCAAATACAATACTTGCAAAATACTTTGCTCACTTTATTCATTTCATTTGCTTGCATGTCACTGTGAGAACAATCTGATGACTTCACCATACTTGCATTTTCAAATTCTAACTAGCTGTGGGCCCGTCCTACGCACAGGAATCAACTAATCAAATCAAATCAAACTAAAAAATCTATACTTAAGGACCCATGCTGCACTGCAGCGTTAAAATAAATATCATATCCGAGAAATAATCAAATTTATGATTTTTGATTGTGTAATACAGTATCTTAAACTTAACTGATTCAAACGATCAATAGCTCAAATTAAAGCCTATAATTGACTGATTATTTTGAGTCTAAAACATATAAAACACGTAAACAATACTGGAGCTATTTATATTCAATCATAGAAAAACCTGATAATTTTTGTTTATGTTGGATGTTCACCTTGCGTTTGCTTGAAACCCGTCCGATTTGAATAACTAATATCTTAAATGCAAGCCGGTATTTCACTGAAGGTTCTTAGACCAAAATATATAGGGTACAATTATAAATGGTAAAATACCGTACAAATTAAATTGAAATACGAATTTAAAAATATATCAAATCAATGTTTTTTTGGTCGAGTAATAAAGTAGATAAATATACGATGATGCTTGATGTGAAATATATGTGTGCATACTACCAATTTAAGACCTCAATCATAAAGATCGGACGTGTAGAAGATTAAAAGAAACTCGGAAAAGAAAAAAACAAATTTAACTCCCTTTAGAAATACATGGGGGCAAATTTCATTTACGTATAGTGGGACTGTCGATAAATATATACTGATGCTTGATGTGAAATCTGTGTGTGCATACCTTCAATTTGAGACCTCAATAATGAAAATCGGGTGGGTAGAAGCGCCAAACGAACTCGGAAAAGAAAAACCAAATTTAACTCCCATAAGAAATACATGGGGAGAAAATGTCGTTTACGTATAAGCCGAGTGGGACTGTAGATAAATATATGCCGATGCTTGATGTGCAATCTGTACGTTAATACCTTCAATTTGAGACCTCAATCATGAAAATCGGTCGGGTAAAAGAGCCAAACGAAATCGGAAAAGAAAAACAAATTTTTTTATGTATATATATTCTAACTATCATGATATTTTCGTGTTTTCTGGAACATGCTGTAATTCACAAGTGGCAAACACCTAAAATCTTAAAGTACGTGTCAATACGAGCACAAAAATTTATATTTCAAAAATTCCCACCAGGGGGGGAGGGGGGGTATAGACCAGCCTCCGCTCTATACCATGCGGGACAATCCTTATCATGTACAGCAAAAGGTGGTTCTTTATTAACTGGGTCCAGGAAAAGCTTCTGGCTTTTCTCTATATTGAACCGGTGAACTTCAGCTACTCAGCTCCATCATGTTATATTCTGTTACAGCTGCAGCTATGACGTACTGGAGATGTTGGAGCCCGGGGTAGAGATGGAGCCACGGAGAGTGTGTGGAGATTGGAGTGACAAACTGAAGCTGCTCCGTTACGTCAGTTCATCTCCACGACTTCTGCTACGCTTCGTTTCTGATTATTCCCATCATTTTGGAGGCTTTAAGGCTCGAGTAGCTATGGAACATGGTGAGTTTTTCTGTTCTACATTTAGTTAACTGTTCTCAATTTTGTGTTAAGTGTCAAGTGCTCGGTGTACTGGTTGTTTTATTGTTGAATGGATTAGATTTAAGGATGTGTATTAGATCGCAAAGGGCACTAGCCCGCTCCACCTCTGCCCCTTGATAATCTCAACAATAGGTCATAAATGCTTGTAGAACAGTATTCCACCCCTCCCCGGAAAGAATTTCGACAAAAATCATTATTTCTTTATACGGATTGCAGAAAAAAAATATTCTAACACACAAATACCTCAACACAACGGATTAATGGGTTTATACAAAGTAGGGACAGCATTCTAGTACATCTTGTGGTCTACAATTTAGATTTTGTCTCTAGCACTGTGACACTGAGGAGTTTGAAAGTGTTTGCTGATCCTCGGCTGAGCCTTTTGACAATCTTTGAGTGGAGGAATAAAATTAATATTGGTTCATTAAAATTAGTTTATAAACAAATTCATAGAGGGCCTACGCCAGCGTAGTAGCAGGATGAAAATTGAAAAGAGGTGCTTTAATAGCGACGTAATAAATTAGAGAAGAGGAAGGCCCGCGAGGGTTAGTGAGACATCCATAAGATATCTTGTTCAACTTATATTGTCAAAATACAAAATACAGCTGTTAGCTTACAAAAGAAGAAAGATACCTTAACTAGGGGGGAACAGACAACTGCAAAGCTATAACATCCCCCATAGGTGAATAAAATAAGGAATAAAATAAAAGTATCTGAAACCAATCCTAAGGAGAAAAGGACTCCTAAACTCCAGCTAACAATTATACCGGATAAGGTGGTACACTCTGAGAATGGTTTCAGCAACTTCTTATTGCTAAGGTTTATTTTAATGTAAGTTGTATAAACTCATTTGCTAAAATTATCAAATCTAAATACTGACGAATTGAAGTACTAATGATTAAAGTAGAATCCAAACATAAACATAAAATAAAAGGATTGTAGAGAAACATGCAAAAAGGAAACGGCGGATCTTCATTCACTAACTCTGAGTATAGTGTGTTAATAAAATTATCACATAATTATTTTGTTAATAACACAAAGAACTATAAAAGTTTAAATTAATTTTCATTACCAAACCCTATCCACACTAACGAAAACATTGTAATTTATAAAATAACTAATCTACTTTTCTAATTTAGAATAGAAAGGATGATGTGTTATAACAGAACCATTTTCGAGAACCAGAATGGATGTTATTCGTCGAACTTTGTGGAAATTATCATCAAAATTACAATTGTTGAATTATAGTTTATGTTTTTTAAGTACTTTATTATCTTTTTTATACCCCAACTGTCAACTCAAAATAAGTTGGAACGATTCAAACATTTTTATGACTAGCAACTCAACGTAGCAACTCAACGATTAGAAATATATTTACAAAGAAAAGCGCAGAACCTCTCAGTCACATTAACTTGTCATTCTCTACGATTCTGGAGGCTACAGATTTGAGATTGATGTTCACTGAGACGAAAAGTAAACTTTTCTTGATTCGTATCTTAAACGGTTTTATCTCCAGAGAGTTTATAAAGCCACGACCTTTCCAGTTCGATAACTTCAACACAGTATGAACATCTTTTCTCAATTCATATGAATTGGTTTGTTTGATTTTTACTAGGTTCGTAAACAATATAACTCTCTTTTTACCATGTACACAAACCATATTACATCCCGGTAAATGAGTTAGAGTGTTGTGTCAATAGTCATTACATCTGGTTGTATCATATCGTTTTTTGAGTATATTGCTCCTGTAAAACTGTAGGCACTAATATTTCCTATTCACTCTTTCTGCAACTTAAAAATATTATTTCAAATTAGCCTTCATTATATTTATGTTATCCGAGACTACTAATGACATAACATTCAATATTATACAAACATCTCATAATGTACATACTATGTATGTACCATGTACTCATAATGTATATATTGTAATGAAGATTGACACTTAAACAAATATTACAAAATATATAATTATACTATTTGAATGTTATTTTTATTTTTATTTTTATTTACTAGTTGCCTTTTTTATTCACCCTTGTGTTTTTGGTCATGGTCTGTTGTATTTTCCTTTACGCACTATGCACACATTTCTCATTTCAAAAAATAAATCTAATTTTTTATATGAAATCTTTTTATATGTGTATGTAAAGAAGTCTGTTACTTATTTAAACAGTGTGCACTAGCAAATAAATGATAGTAGCTATATAATGTTTAATTTATTGTATGCGTAATTAATGTATTTTTCATTTTAAATCGTATACATGAAGATATTCTAAGTAAATGAGTGCAATACTATTTCTTTGTTAAACACGGACATTTAAACGCTGCTCGTGACCTAAAAAAGAAGTAATTGGTCTAGCTTCATAGGTGATTACTGGCCTGAATTCAGCTTTATTTTGGGGCATTTACTTAAAAGGCTGACGAGGCTACTCGTTGAATTCTAGTGAACTAAATAATTTTTCTCCGTGTATTTTTATATGTAACAATACTATTTGTAATCTACTTTTAATATTTACAATTACAACTATAATTGCATTTTTCTCAATTAAATGTTTTCAACAAACACGTTTATTGTTGTTGTTATAGATTAATAAAGCAGTTTTCCATCTTTATGAAACAAATTAGGCAAAAAGGGTAAAATTTACTTAAATATTAATATATATAGGCTGACCACCTTAACATTGAACCAGAAATATTATCACAGGATATAAAACCAACTAATGGGCTATTGTACGTGATATTATACAATTATTTGTACAACTTTACACGTACTGCACAGGAACTTCAAACGAATCTCAAACAAACAATTCAGTTAAAACTATATTAATTTTCTGAAGGTTAATGAACATGTTAAAAAAGGATTACCAAACTTATCTTGAATATTATATGAACTTATACAGTTTTCAATAAGGTTTGTATTACATTTGAATTTAATAAACAAATGTGTGACAAATTTGTAGCTCGAAATCACTGGTAAGTTTTAAATAGTTGAGTGTATTTCTATAACAATTACATAAAGCAAGAGGCAATTGAATCAGAATAAGACCTGAAGTCTAAGCGGATTAGACTGGTAACTTAGTTCACAGGGTTTGTAATTATTCTTGATGTTTCTATATATTTTAACTTTATACAAATATGTATGCAAAAGTTACTAAGCTAAACGCCATCATGGTAAAAATTGTGTTATATATTTTTATATGCCTTCTTATTTTAAAACTACATGATTGTAGTGCTCGCTTTTTCATTTCAAATTTGCTGGTCAAATGTTGTTTATCTAGTTTCTAGTTGTCATTACTTTTTAATAGCAGATCTGAGTTAAATGAAAACAACGGAAGGGCTTGGAACTTTTTATTCACTAAAAAAGTTCAAACATAAATAACATATGTTCTTAGACTGCGTAGACTGCGACTGTTCGTAGACTGCTATAAATAATATCAAACTGTAATAATTTCTCAGCGCTCGCCAACAAATTTGTTGTTATTATCATTCTGTATATTTCATCTAATTCACCAGTGAAAATCTGTATTATGTTCACTTATAAGTTTATTTTTCATTTTCTTTTTAATCAGTCTTGTAAACCATTAAAATTCAAATGTTTAATAAAAATGAGCTTATCTTATTCAATTATGTGTTTGCCAAATGAAGATTCTGAGAAATATTCGTCAAAATGATGTTTAATTACGAATAACTAGAGTGACTTCCAAAAACCATTTTCTCTAACAATCCCGCTGTGATTCGAATTACTAAAGCGCGCAGATTTAGTCGAGTTGATTCAATTGTGAAGAGACGTTTTAGGAATAATTCTAGCTCGTTAAGTGTTGGAAATGTGTAAATCAATTTCTTAAGACGAATCTGCTAGCAACGCTGTTTAGAAAGATTGATTGCGTTTGATCAAAGTTAAAAAAAATATGCGATTTAAAAAGGTTTTATCTTATTTTTAGTACAATTTGTCACTCATAAAAACTATGTCCTCTAATAATTAATTTATGACACCATTGCTCTTATAAGATGTATTTATCAATGCATGCGGCGAACTTATGCTCAGTTATAAATTACTTTGAGTTCCTATACGTATCCAACCGAATTATTAAAATTGTCCTTAAAATTTACCCAACGACTTTAGAATGGGTAAGAATCATTAAATGGTGTGAAATGGTGAGAAATGAATGAATGGAAATACTTCTTTACTAAGGTGCTTACATTTAACCTCTCCTACAGTTAGTTACAGTTAAGGTGTGACATAGTCAATGAATTATTTATAGATTATTATTTACCATGGTATCGAGTAAATCGTGCATTAGACGATGATAGAACCTAATTTCACCCTATGTACAGCACGATGTATATCAGTTCACAAATGTGTCCTCCTGACTAAACAGTATAGTTACTGTATGTATTGTTATGTCATGAAATTCTTGACCTAAATCTCTCTTCATTCTTTTATTCGTAACACAAATTCAACTACAACAACTCACTATATTCGTGTCACGGCTGGTTAAAAATGAAAACTTAATGAAGGCTTTACAAGAGATTCTTTGTTTCTACACGATGAATGCCTTCTGTCTGTCAGCTGAAAACCTCTGTTCTCGTTTCTGATTTAATTATACTAATGAAAGTGGTTTGTTGTACCCAGTTAAATTTTGAGGTCGTTAATTTAAGTATCATAACCGTTTCATAAAATACTAAAGTATTCGTAAACCCTTTATAAAATCCTACAAACCAAATAAATCCTATTAGTTTTGTAGGCTACATATGTTTGTTTTTAGTATTATGTTCGATTCTGCTTTACAAAATGAATATAACTCGATTAATCAAAAATAGTGCATTGTTGCAGATAGTACTTCAATCATAATATTATAATTTATTCTAAACTAGCTGTGTGCCCGTTCTACGCACGGGGATCTTATAGTAGTCAGTTGAAACCTTCTTATATTAAGATTAAGAACAGCAATTAGTTTGCA